CCATTCAGCAAACTGGCACACAAGTGGCTCCAAAGTAATTTGGATAAGCCTGGGTGGAAATGTGCGGCTTGTCATGGCTAGTTATCATTTTGATATGTCTTTGAGTGAGTCACAAGAACCAGAAAATCATTAACAGTTCTTATCTGACAAATTGTACATTCACAGGGGCTGCAATTCAACTATATAGTATCCCTGGCAATTTTCTAATGGTCACAATGAAAAATGTAATATTCCCCAGTATTTAACAATGGAAGATATTTATCTACCATAGAGTTATAATTTCACTTTTCTTTCAAAGAATTCTGGGTAGCATACAAAACTCTCCCTGCCATGTACCCTACCCTATATTTAACTACAATCGTTTCTGAGAGACAGTGTAGTTAATGAATAGAGAATTGGACTAGGAGGTAAAAGGTAAAGGTAAAGGTTCCCCTTGACAATTTTTGTCCAGTCGTGTTCGACTCTAGGGGGTGGTGCTCATCCCCGTTTCCACGCCATAGAGCCAGCGTTTTGTCCGAAGACAATCTTCCGTGGTCACATGGCCAGTGCGACTTAGACACGGAACGCTGTTACCTTCCCATCAAGGTCGTCCCTATTTATCTACTTGCATTTGCATGCTTTCGAACCGCTAGGTTGGCGGGAGCTGGAACAAGCGATGGGCACTCCCTCCGTCTCGTGGATTCGATCTTACGACTGCTTGGTCTTCTGATCCTGCAGCACAGGCTTCTGCGGTTTAGCCCGCAGCGCCACTAGGAGACTCAGGTTCAATCTCTACTCAGTCATGGAAACTCACTGGGGATAACAATGGTAATCCAATTCTGGAACAACTTGTGTACTTTGGAAACCTTGTTGGGATCACTGTAAGTTAGACACAACATGATGGTACCTAACAACAACAACAGTCCTTTCAGCTTGGATCAATTTCCTGGGGACCAGCCTGAGAGCGACTTTATGTCTAGGTGGCCAATGCAGGGCTTCCTGATCCTAATCCAACACAATTTCTTTTACACTTTATTAATTTTAGGTAGGAACTCTTATATTACAGTTAATTTACTGAAATATATCAAATGTCCTAAATATTTATTTATTTAAAGTATTTTTAACCTGCTTTTCCCCTTAACAAGGTAAAGCAAATGAATGCCATTTCTAACCGTTACTTGAAATATTAACTTCAGAAGAACTACACTACATGTTGTGTGGCTACTGCTTGTTGTTCAGTCAAGATCTGGGACCAAAGTGTTATTCAGACATGAAGGCCAACTGTTAGACCAACAATTAATTTATTGTTTATTAAACTTCTGTGCCATACTGTATTAAAAATGAGTTCCAGGGCAGTTCACAATGATAGAAGTGAACATATATACAATTCCATAGTCACCTTGGAGATAGCCAAGAGCCAGCATGGTGTACTGCTTAGCATTTGGGACTTGGACCTGGGAAGTGTGAATTCTAGATTTCCCTTCCCCCCCCCCCAAGCCACAAAACTGACTGTATGATGGTATGAACTACCTTCTTTCAGCCTGATCTAGCTATCTTGTGGCCTTCTAAGGATAAAATGGGAATGAGGAGAGCAATGAACATGCGTTGAGCTCACTGAAAGAAAGGCACAATATGTGACTATAATAATAAAGAGGAAAATAAACTGGACTGCAGACACATTCATGCACCTCCATCTCCTTAAAACATTTGTAAATACCAGGCCTAAGAATTCAAAGAAAGATCATCAGATGAAGGGTGCTTCTGTACTTATGTTCTGCTAGTAGTCCTCTCCAGGCAACTGATGCTACTATGGGAAAAGAATATTTGTCTTGATAGGTGGTTAGGCTTGGACCCAGGCAATCTGGATTTGAATCCTCAATGAGCCATGGAAACGGAACTGGGATGGCAATGTGTCAGGTTTGGGATAAACCTGAAATGAAATTGTAAAATGCAGTTTGGCAATATGATCTAAGTTTTGTAAGGATCAGAGCTGTAAAGTAATGCTAAGCATGAGTTAATGCAGCTGAGCTGATTGTATCAGCAGGATGAACATTATCAGGATTGGCTAATCATGGGGATATAGCTGGGAGACCAAGCAGACACCATTGTGGGTTGTTGTGAGGGTGGCTATGGTCGTGGAGTGCTGTCGTGGTGCTGGAGAATCCTGTGGAAGCCGTATCTACGAGCTTGGGAGAAGAGGAACTCTGGTGAACCGGACTGACTGCATGGTATATTGACCTTGACTATTTACTGGACTCTGACACCGATTTAAGCTCTGTAACTCTGTGGATATTGCCATGTATGACAATTGGAACTGGACAAGGACTACGCTGTGTATATACCTGTACATATCCTGTATATAATACATATATTCTACTGTCAAGATTGTTTGATACTTGTATCTTCACTTCACTCTGGGAAGCTCTGCTGGTTATCACCTACTGGGTAATCCTTGAAATACTGCCACACTGTCAGAATGGTACACCACTCCTTGAACATCATGCATACTTAAAAAACACTATTGGGGTTGCCAAAAGTCAGAAGAGACTTTACAATATATAATAACAATCATGTAGTGTGTCGACTGAGACTTACATACTGCCCTTTACATTTGTTGAGACATTGCAGAGTTTTTACTGGTTTAAACAAAAGATGTATTTTTAAAATTAAAATAACAAGGTGCACTTCTAAGGAAAATAAATCATAATATGAAGCCAATTGCCATATGCAAAACATTCTATGCAATTGTTTGGGAATCTTCTTCTATATCTTTCTCATTAGTCTGAACGCTATCTGTATATAGGAGCAGTTGTACTTGCTCTTTGCACTCTTGCGTCTTTTTCAACATCACCTGTCATTAGTTGATAATGTTGACTCTTCTGCTATTATGATCTCCTCTAAAAACTATTATAGATGTATTTAGCAGTTCATTCGAGCACTTCATTCCATTTATCTATATACTGTACCTTGTTTCCCTGAAAATAAGACCTAACATGAAAATAAGCCCTAGTATGATTTTTCAGGATGCTTGTAAAATAAGCCCTACTCCAAAAATAAGCCCTAGTTAAGTGAAGCCCATCTTCCAGCAACCAGAAGATGGTATGACTGTATTTGAATAAACGTAGATTGTACATGAAAAAAATTAAGCATCCCTTAAAAATAAGCCCTAATGCGGTTTTTGGAGCAAAAATTAATATAAGACCCTGTCTTATTTTCAGGGAAACACAGTATATATGACTGTGTGGGTATCTAACATCACCCTTTTTTTCATCAGTGATGCTTTTCCATCTCCCTAGTAGCCTACTTTCTCAATCATTTGCTAAACGCCTCATTGAGAGATGATGTTCTGAAAGCTGTATTAGTCAGTTCTTATTTATCCACCGTAATAAACGGTACTGTATTTCCTCTGTGGGCTTTGGATCTGTTCTTCCATGGGGAACTTGTTTATTCTAGGGAATGGGAAACTGATCTTAAAACACATCTGTAGGAAATGGAAGGGGAAAATAAATCCAATGCTTTGCACACCACAGGGTAAAAGGCAAAGTCAGACAATGGACAACTACACAAACACACACAGCTAGAGACCTGTGTGTTTCTGTATCAGAGACAACAGGAAAGGAGAACAGAAAGGTATTTTGATTCCCAAAAAGACTAGTAGTCATTGTGCTCATCGGCATAAATATTTCAGTAGCTAAGAAGTTGGTGCTATTTGTTTTGGGTTGCATGGAGTGTTGGAAATACATAAATTCTTCATGAGACCAGCTGCTCCACAAACACACAGCTGCTCCTATGCATAGTATTCTCCTTTTTTGCCCCCTCCTGAGTGATAAGCAACTTGGTGGTCCGAGCTGAAGCCATTGCATTGTCACCAAAAGCAAACTGGGGGAGAATTGGATATAGTAGCCGTGCCTTGTCCTCAGCTGATCTCAGTTACTGTGCTTACCAAATCACAAAAAAAAAAAAACAAAAAAAAAAAAAAAAAAAAAAAAAAAAAAAAAAAAAAAAAAAAAAGGCATGTAATGCCCCCCTTTTTTCATTAGCTAAGCAATCAGCCAGCCCAGACACTCCCAAGCAGAGTAATTGTGGCATAGTGGTTAGAGTCTGGGGCTGGGGTCTGAAAGATCTTGGTTCAAGCCTGGACTGATCCATTAAATTCACTCAGCACCCCTTGGACAGTCAGTTGGCCACTCTGTCTGCCTGACCCACCTCACAGGGTGGTTGTGATGATGAAGTGTGAAGAAAGCAAGCTGCATGAACCTCCTTGAGTTCACAGGAAGAAATACAAGAAATCAAGGTACATAATAAATAGTCTGGTTAATTAACACAATTAGCAACTCTATGGATGTTGGCCTGTACCAGCACAAATGGCAGCCCCAAGTTATGGAGAACAAGTGATGCCCAAAGAAATTTTGAGGTGCAGGTACTAATCATGATATTCTCCATAACCACCTCCCCAAGTAGAGCCCCCAGAATGTAAGCAGTTATATTGTTCCCATCTGTACTGTACATCTTTGTATGTTATGTGTGTGCATGTATCTCCACTCATATACCACACAACAGTCATACATGCTCAGTTGATGTTTCAAATGAGTGGGCAAAAGGCAGTGGAGTAGCTAGCATCCAAGCTCTACTTCAGCCATGCTCAGTGGAAACAAGGAAGTAGGATGGAGCACAGGAGATGCCACAGCATCCTTGCTAAATAGGAAATCCCATTGCTTTGCCCGTGCAAGTTGGCTTCACTCACAACACAATGCTCTGTTTCCTCAATATAGGCCATCCATAAAACTTACTGTTGAGCATGTTTTGCACAGAAAAGAAAGCATCAGTGGGGCAGAAGACAGGGTCTGTGTCTCAAAATTTTGATCGGAGGAATTACAGGAGAATAAGTATTTAAGCATTCAGACAGCTGAATACTTTGTTTGAAGGTTGGCTAGGAAACAATCTAACATTCAGACATTCATTAGGAGACCGGATAACACCTCCAAAGGGCAAAGGATCACCACTAGCAGGTTCCAACTCCATCAATTTAAGACATTTTATTATTAATTGAACTGCTCCAGGTCAAATGACAATCCAGTTTGGACAGGGTGCCCCTGCGGCTACGGAACGCTGCCAATTTCCATCGCCTTGCGCAATCCTATTGGTGAAAGGCCTGAGGCTAAAGTAATGAAGAGGAGAGCCACATGTGCCCCTTTATACATATCATAAGAGTAATCATGTAAATTTATCTAATAAACCACTCTGCCCACAGGCTCTCATCCTACTAAGCAAGCTGAAAACTACCAAGGCCTCATTCATATGATTGTCTCCTTTCCCCACTAAATGTTCACAATGGCAGGGTGACAGCTGCAAAGCTTTGGGATGATAAATTGGAGGGGAGAATCCTGTTCACAGAGACGGTTGCCTGTAAGACGAAGAGAAGCAACCAGCTCTCCTCCCACTGCAGTATTTCAACACTTGCCCATCCCTGAACCAGGCTCTGTGCTTCCATGGTTTATGCAGCTCCCATCTGTATGCATCTTATGAATTCTCAGGAGGGGGTCAGGTATCCTAAGCAGCAACCTATCTCTCTCATTTTGCCACTTTCATACTTCAGCAACATGTAAGAAATTCCAGTAAGCTTTCAGAATGTTAAAACGTGCTTACTGGAACTCCCCCCCCCCCAAAGAAACACCTACACGAGACATCTTCTACTTTGAGTCTCAGAACAGGCTGTTACTACATGTTGCCCTTTCTCGCTTCTTACAACCTGGCCAACCATTTCAGTATGAAGACAGTGCCCCCACCTCCGACTTCACTATTTCTCCAAATAGAAATGAATGCTTTTGCCCGCTGCACACCAAAGGAACTCAACACGGAGAATCTGATTTAGTTGGACAGCCACTCTGTTTCCCAGGTATCGTGTGCGTAAGCTGCTGCCAGTAAACTAGCAGGGGGTAACGAAGAGACACTGATTTTTATAGAGTCCTTGACAAGGCAGGAGTTTGCAACGATGGAATCCAAGGCACTGTCACAAGAGAAAAGCAGCAAATTGCATTCGGGTCTACAGGCTTCTCTTGGCCTGGAAGCTCAAGGCCATGAGATGCTGTCATCCTTTATTTCAGTGCTGTTTGTTCAAGTGAAAAAACCACTGAGTTCATCTCTAGGCCCCAGGCAGATACACGACAGGAAACAAGAGGAAGAGGAGGAAGGCAAGGCAAGGCAATAGCAGGCAGGATTGTCCAAAGACATCCTGAAAGCAGACATCATTTTATTGAATTTACAGCAGAAAAGTTCAAATTGCCTCTGACCCTGCTTACGTGCTGGAATAAAGTTCTTGGCCTTCTTCACAAGAGATCCGATAAGGTCAGAGTCAACTTGGCTCTAATCTTCCTTCCCCAACCAAAGTCCGCCTATCAAAGCTGTTTGGATCATTACATCGAGGATTTTGTCTTCTATCAGAAGATAGGAATCCACTTATTCTCATCTGCTACAAAAGCAACAATTCCTTTTGAAAAGTCACAATAACCTACTTGTCTCAAGGTCTTAACACAGCCCTGGGATTTCAGTCTTGCACCAGAAGGAGCACCAAGCCCTTGAAAAGGATTTGCTAAATAAAGCCTCTCCCTGCCTGCTCCTCTTCATGGGTTGCCTGAAGTCAAAATTTGTTGCTCTGAGGCAATAGAATTCTTGAGGACTTTTAGTATGATGGGCTGGAATAACTCAACAACTGTATCTTTGCCTTGGAAGAATCCTCTGCCTCTCATAGTGTAAATAGGCTCATGGTGTCCAACGAACTTCCAGAAGGCCAGTTGCTCACCCATATCAGACAAGGAACAAGAACAAGACGGGGGGGGGGGGGGGGAGCAAATGAATGGCAAACAGGTTGAATTGTCCAAAGACATCCTGAAAACTAGACAATATTTTATGGAAATCTACAATCTAAAAATTCAAATCACCTCCCACCATCCTCGCTCACAGTAGCATACCCTTCGTGGTCTTCATTGTGACAGATCCTGGTTTGATGCAGCAACAAATCTTGGCTTGTTATTTGTAACAAGAACCCTGGGCTTGCCTTCATCCTTCCTTCCTGCATGGAAGGAGGAGATTTAAAGCTTTCATCCCCAATTTTAAAAACTCATGATTTTTCATTATATTTAAATTTGGTAGACATTGGCTTGCTGCCACAGCTAAATTGGGCCCATGTTCTTGCAGAAAGCAACAACAGCTTGGAATTTTATATCCACCTGTTTTCTGGAACAGATAGATTACCTAAACAAGGAACAAAGACTGAGAGACCAACCTTAACCGTATGCTGTAAGAAGAGGGTAAAGATGAGAAATATGCAACTAGTAATTCAGGGATTCCTTGCAATCTAGCCTAATGGGATTCCCAACAAGTCCCAACCCCAAGGAATCCCAATGTAATATAACAGCTACTTTTTTCTATGCAAGCAGACAGATAGTGCTGGAGACCTCTTTAATAATCTTTCCCTATTCCCTGAGTATGAAAAGCCAGCACAGCCTCTGGTAGAGTTCTCCTTTTATGACTACCTTAGCTACTGGTTTCTGCTTGTGAGACAAAATGTGGGAAAGGAGATATAGCCACCAAGTCACCGAAGAACTCTGTCAAAGTCTTTGCCTCGTCTGTTGCTGCAGCAGGGGTGGGATAGGGTGGGAACGTCAGGAAATTAATGCTCACTTTTGTATCTCAGCAATGGGCACAGTTAGTTTTGCTGGCCCAGCAGCCCTTTCTCAGGTTAAAATATACACACACCCATTTAAAAAAATGAGAGCTACAGAGCCTCTCACCATTTCTACAAATGCTCAGCAAATTATGTGCTTAAATACCAGGAAAAATTCAAACTGCAGACAAGCGATGTGCCATGATGTGCTCAAGAGCTGTCATCTCTTCAAATGTGCATAACGCATGTTGGATTTCCCATCTGCCAGGTCCTTACAAATGGTCAGTGTCCTTAAAATGGGGCAGCTCTCCAACACATTGATCCCATTTACTAAAGCAATGGTCCAGATACCTATAAGATGGAGAAAAGCTAGTCCACTGGCCCCAAGACCGGAGGCCTCTTCATGATTCTCTCTTGTCCTAAAAGAAGCGTCCAAAGCACTGACAGACTCCAACAGTCTGGCACCGATCCAGAAGGAAGAGGCCTGCTGAAACGTGATGCAGGAGCAGGCTTCTTTAATCTTGCCAATGGGTCTTAGCTGCTCTTCCTTTGATCAACTGGACGGCAAGACATCCATTACCTCTTTTCAATCTTTTGCTTCTGCAGGCTGAGCGAGGTGAAGCTGGCCAGAAGGTCAGTCACTTCATCCACCTGCCAGAGAAACAACATAACATGGTACAGAAGGCAGACACTAAAAGGAGTCCCATGAGATTCTAGGGATAGATTTTTAAAAAAACAATACGCTACAAGAACCTGGGCTTCTGGCTAGATACCACATGAAGGATTCACCATCACATGAATATTCCAGGAGCAAGCCAGCCACTGATCCCATCACCACCACCACCACCACCACCACCACCACCACCACCACCATCATCATCATCATCATCATCATCATTATTAATGTGCTTTACTTCTCAATTGCTTTTCCGCCCAGAAGGGCCTCCAAAACCATGTGCAACAGCAAAAAGATAAAACTTAAAGAAACAAACAAAAAAAAGATTAAGGCAACTTTTAAAAAACAGTTTTTTAAAAAAGGATCAAGAACAATGCTTTAAAACCAGTTTAAAAAAAAACAAACAAGTATCAAACAAAACAATATAGTCTTGGCTGCCTGCTGAAAGTTCACCAGAAATGTAGCCTTGGGAAGTTCCAACATCAAACCAATTGTGTCTTGAAGTTATTCAAAATTCGGGCTTATTGCATACAAATTTGTATGCTGACCCACCACTCCAGTGCATGATGGAGTGGCTAAATAAATGGATGTCTATAGACTACAGTTGTTTTAGTATGACATCTAAAACCAGTATTCTGGCTCGTTTGTCCCTCAACAGAGTGCTGGATCTTGCCATGTTTATTTTAAACAAACCATGCCCCCAAACTGTTTGTCTTGTTTAGCCACTCCTGACCTTGGTAAGAGGGATCAGACATCCTGTACCAGCATAATGGTGAGCCCAAATTCTAAAGAATTCAAAAGAATTCTGCCCCTTGCTGGATATCAAGTGAAGGATGAGAATATGCTCACAATGTTATATTTTATGTTGTACAGGCATTTACATGCTGAAGGCAAGTACCCCTTCAGATTTATCCATACGCAAGGGGGCAAACAAGATGTGGGTGGATGCCACCCTCAAAAGTGAAGTTGAAGGTCGTTTTGAAGGTCATTGCTGGGCATGGATTAGATTGCTTTGGAGAAAACTGTCACAGCTTTGAACAAAATGAACCAGCATCGACATAGTAAACACCAAAATGAAGGCAAAGAGGTATGCCAGCTATATGTGCTAGAAGCATATGCCAAAAGAGGAAATCTGTCTTCTGCGGGTGACATACCATAAAGACTTGAGTTACAAAAATACTGTTTCATACTCCTCAATTTGACGATTCATCGAGTCCTCCTTTTTCAGCAGTATCTCGTTACCAAGTTGTCAAATGGCAGACACGCTGTTTCAGGATTCTCGAAAATGAATTTTGCAAGAGTGAAATACATATCACTTGGTTAAAAGTGTGATATTGAGGGAGAAACTCTTAACCTTCTAATGCTGTGAATGTTCCTCTCCATGGTCAGAAAAAGATAAAAAATCCAAAAAGAATCTTATACTCCACTTTGGAGGACACCTGCTGCTCTTGGAGACTTCTGGAACAGCAGTTCTCATTTCTGACCACTCCCAAGCAGGGAGATGTGGAGAGGGAAATATGGATCACATGACACATACTCCTGATCTACAGGATTCTTGCTCTACCGTGCCCTGAGAAGACTCCATAATATTCTAACCTTAGATCTGGAACAGTTAATTTCCTCCAATGGGTCTGTCAGGTTAAAGATCCAACAAATCACTTCATTCTTAGCTCGTACTTAAAGCAGACCCCAAAAGACTAGGAAGTCCGCAGAATGTTGACAGTAGACCATCCCCTCCTCAAGGAAGACTTTTTTTTTCTTGTAGAGAACTCAGATATCTATACTGCATATTTCACAAACATCTTGTGAATACTGAATTCTACTTCTTCAGCAGAATGAGTTGTACAAAATGGTCTCATATATTTTAAAGTTTCCTTTTATTGAGAGAGTTTAGAAACATATAATGTCCAAGAGAGATCTGAAGTACATAATTTCCAAAAGAAAAAATAATGGCTGAAATTGTATTGCACCACTTTTGTCATGCAACAAGGACGATGTCATCAGACATGGCTGTAGCGTGGCCACCTTCGGGCAATAAAAAAAATTCATAGAACTCCCTCCCTCCCCTTTGTCTAGGAACATCCTTCATAAGTCATGAAAGGGAGGGGGGGAAATGGTTCAAAGCCAGAAAATCACTACCACTGGTGGGACTGGGACCAATGACAGTTCTTAAAAAGGCTATGCCAGGAGAAAGGGAATCCCAGAAACTTGGCAGGGACAGTAGGACATTTTTTATTGCCCCCAAAAGTCCATGGCACAGTCACAGCTGATGACATCATCTCACTGCACAGTGTAAAGTTGTGCAACAGGATTTCAGCCAGCATGTCAAAAACTCAGGCTATATATTGTATATATTTTTTTCTCCTACGCTAGATATAATATACTGCAAACCACTATATAACGCATCTAATTTTTATTATTCTCCTTCCCTTTCTTCTTTTAATCCTATTTGAAGGAACTTTAGATTCTTTACACACCTGCCGGCAATATATTCCACCTAGGGCAAGAGAAAATAAATAATTCTCACTGATGTGTGTTATTTATTAATCCTAAAGGAAGGAAATGCAAAGAAAGTACACCAGCACAATATGCAGTAACACCTTTCTCCCTGCTTGCTCTGAGCTGACAGGGCTGTGGATACAACAGACACTCCACTGAAGATCTCTCTCCCTGCCTGGTACATGAGACTGCTTTACATGTGACATACAGACACATTCCCCTTGGTTGCTCACCTGCTCCTTTGTACTAGTCATCTGTAGCTTTGTGCAAAGGTCATCCAGCTGTTCACGCTGTTCGTGACGCCCAAGGCGGTCAAGGTACTCCCGCAACATCTGGATGATCTGAAACAAGCACCATTAGAAGTAGCGGCATGTTTTTAGTTTCCTATAAGTAACGGAGAGGCTCAGACATTTGCTTACACAGCCAGCACCGAAGCAAAACTGAAGATCTATAGGAGATTTCTAAGGATATTTTTTACAATGTAAACATCGCGTGATACTAAATATCAGAACCAAAAAGCAGAAAATGTCGGTTTAAATGAGGCCAGATCCCATTATTTTTCCACTGCTACACAAAACAGCTCAACATGCTTTCCAAAGCAAATTTATTATCATTCCAACCAGTTGTTGTCCCTATTTTGTTATGTGCGGTTAAGTCATTTCCAACTAGAGATGCAAAATTTCCCAAAACTCCAATTTTTCCAGAAAAAAAGTGTTTTTTCCTGGAAAACAATGTATGTATGTAAAGCTGTCTAGACTGGATTGACTGAGAAATAGAAATTTCCATTCTTTCCCAAATTCTTTCTGGGGAAAAATGGCAATTTTCAGAAATTTTAGCTCTATTTCCAACTGAAGGCAACTTAATGAGACTTCAAAAATGTCCTGTCATTAAGAGCCCAATTCAGTCTTCAAAAACTGAAAGCTTTTCATGTTCAATCCACGTCATGTCCAGTCCTCCTCTTTTCCTGCTGCCTTCCATTTTTGACCCCACTATTGCCCTTCCTAGTGAGTCTAGGCACTTTTTTGTTGGCTCCAAGATATCTGAGCCAAACCTGGACCCTCCTGGCAGTTGCCATCCCCTCCCCGGGATTGGCAAGCCCAGTTAACTCTTATCCCTCGTAGCCAAAATCAGCCTTGCAGGGAAGAACCCTTAGTCATTTAACTCAGCAGTGGGACCGATTCCCCCTGCCCATACACAATAAGTACATCAAATGTGGAGAAGGTTTTATTTTATTGAAAGGGTGCAGGTGGGATGGGAGAGAGACAGACTGAAAGGAAAGAGGTACTTTGGGAAATATATACCAAATTGCAAAACAGATAAAGAATTCCTTGAGAATGAACCATGCCATAGGAAAAATGAGGATTAGCTAGCCTGTTCTGCTTACCCAGACTTCCTAGTACCAGGAGACAGACTTCTGATGTTTACACGGAGCACAGATCTCACGGACATGGCAATGGGCTAACCCCCAAAGCCATGATGCCAACTGCGGTTATACTTTAATCCTCAGCAATAATGATGCCACTCAACACCCTATTCCAATTCAGTTCAGTCATTTTTGCTTCCAAGGAGATTTCAGGTTTGCTTTGATCTAGGACCTACTTATTCGTCTTTCTTGTGGTCCATGGTATCCATAAAGCTTCATGAAACACCACCTATTACATCCATGCATTTATCTGGATAGCGGCATGCTAGTGCTATGGATGATGACACTGAGAATAGGGTAGCCATGGTTTTCCTACTTTCCTCAGCTGCTGGAGAGCACTACCTGAAAGACCTGGATTATTCCTGTTCCCTGAACATGCTTATCGGCTGCCTTGTTGCCAGGTCCTTTATAAAAGCATGACAGCTGCACACTAAAGACACACATCTGCTCTCTCTCCACCAGTGGCATCCTATTCCTATGACATCGTTCCTACCTGTGTGTGATTTCTAGATAGATTGTAATGGATTACTATTTTTGACCGGATCCCTAGCGATCCTTGTGTTTTCTATTTTTGTGTTCTCCATTCCTCAGCAACATTTTTAAATTTTTCGTATACTTCTTGATCTTTGCTTTAATATTGCCTGTTAACTGAAGCAAGATGCCTCCTTATTCCTTGTTCATAATTTTCAAATATCATTTTTTGATGATGTTCATCACCACTGTATACTCATTGTTTTCAACTTTAAATATTGTCTTCCGTTGTTGTAAGCTGCCTTGGGTCCTTTTCAAGGAGAAAGACAGTGTAAAAATATTATAAACAAATAAATAAATATTCTTGTGTACCGTACATGCCTTCAAGAAAAGATTTAAATATCTGAAGGACCATATTCTCTCTCATGAACCTGCTCAGGCTCTGAGAACTTAGAGAGAAGTCCTTCTCCCATATCTGTGACCCCTTAGAGGCACTGTTGTTGAAGACATGAGTGCAGGCCTAGTTGGTGGCTGCTCCCCCATCCCTTCCTTGCTGTCCTTCTGGGAGGAGGCATAAGCTTTTTATTCATGCACATTTTGGCAGCTGACTGGCTGCAGAGGAATGGACTCTGAATGGGCAGATGTTACCTTTGTTCTTTTCAACTGTTATCAACTCAGCTGTATTATAATTGGTTTAACAGTGTTTTAACTTTGTATTTTTTTTCTCTGCCTTTTAAAAATCTAGTTGTGAACTACCTCAGGCCCCAATTTTCAGAGAAGAATGGGATCTATATAAATATCAAATAAAGAAAGGGGCAATCTTGTTGCATGCCCTGTTACTGTAGCATTGGCCTATATAAAGGAAAATGGGGCAGGGTGGAGGTTCCCACCTTGTTCTCAGCAAAAGACGGAGAGATGCTGCTGGGGCGAGTGATGGCTGCTTTCCGATAACAGCCAGGGTTGAAAGAATAGAGAAGAAACCTGGGAAATTCTCATGGGAGCCATTTTTCTTACAGTACAGGTAAAAGCAAAATAAAAAGTAAAAAAGACAAAAACATGGTGAAATCATCACGAACTGGACTTGTCCATGAAAGCTCACATTAAAAAACAGAAAAGTTAGTATTTAAGGTGCCACCACGTTTTTCTTTCTTTTTTTTAATTTTTATTTCTATTTTGCTTTTACCTACAATGCATGCACGGACTAACATACCTACCTCTTCTATAACTACATCCTTCTTATAGGGGCTAGATAATATATTATTGCAACTGGAGAGGGATAGTATTACTATAGGACAACCAGAATTAAAAACAAAAACCAAAGCCTCCTCCAAATCCTAGCTGGCTGCCTGATTATTTTTCTCACTGTCTGAAACAGAGATGTGAAACCTTTTTTGTTGTTGTGATGATGTTAGGGACCCCATGCCAGGGGTAGGTGAGGCCACAGCTATCAGTGGCAGGGACTGCTTTTTCTTCCACCTCCTTCTGCCTCCTCTTTCATTGCGAGCTAACAGAGGAAGGACAGGTTGCTCTTGCCAGAGCACTGAACTGATAGATTACGGATGAATTTTAAAACTGGCCAAGACAATTGATGATTCTTAATCAAAAACACCCCACAGCCTACAGGAATCTTTTGAGCCGATTCATTCAGCAGGACCATTCTTATATATTTCCTGTATTATTATTGTCTAAATCCTGAAGCCTATTCCACATGCTGGGTTTCAGCCCTTGAAGCCCAATGCCTGTCCCAACGCACTGTCAGCCCCAAGACTATGATAAAGTTAATTTTTTGGTCTTTAACACCCAGAATTATCCAGTCAGCATGGTCAGTAGTTGTGCTTGCCATGGATTCTCATAGTTAAAGCGCATGAAAATAATATTTCTAAACTCTCTTTGGATACGGGTTAGAGCTTCACACTTAACTTGGGGGACAATGATTCTTAAGTTATCGAAGCCCTTTTGTAAGGCAACTCACTCTTCCACTCGACTGCCATCTGGGGATACAGAAAGCAATGCTAAATGGAGGGAGAGTTTTTTCCCACCTGCTTCACTTCGAGACGCACAGCTTCTAGGCTCTGTGAGAGGCCCTCTTGTAATATGTTTAGCTTGGATTTGGCCAGATGCAGAGGAGTCCTTCCAGCTCGATCCAAAGCATCTACCCGGGCTCCTGCAAGAGGTGCATAAGGAGGAAGAACAATGTATGTTTACTTAAGCCAGGCCCTATGATACTATATTTTTAAGGCAGCTTTTTAATCTGCCAAGAGAACATTTACCTCCACGGAGCAGTGTGGTGATGACAGGAACATGGTTCGTGCAGGCAGCTGGGGAGGGAAAACACAAAACAGACAACTAAGTTGTGCCTTATAATAAAGCAATGGGAATAGGCTCTGCCTCTCGGGGTATAAATAGTTGGTTTCTGACAGAACACCTTCACAAGGATTCTAGTGTAACATTATTATTATTATTATTATTATTATTATTATTATTATTATTATTATTATTATTCATTAAATAACTAGATGGCCTTAAACAATGTTTCAATCTCAATGAAATGTTTGCACAATAAGGATAATAGTGCAATGAAGAATTCAGTGCTTCCAACACAAATTATTGAGTGAAAAAGGAGGAGTTCTGATGGAATATAGGACTTCCTATTGAATATTTTCCAATTCAGTTTTACAGTAAATGGACACTTCAAATTGGGTGGATTTGTATAATTTTCCAAGTACACATAAACAGTCTATGATTGTGTGCGTGTTATAAGTAGACTTTAGAATATACTACCCCAAATCCTTTGTCTGGTTATGTTAATGTAACTGTTGGAGGTGAATTGACTTAAGTTAAGAAATCACTATAGACATTATCAGTTGCAAATTGACTTGTGTGACTCGGCATGCAACTTATAGTGTCTACAGTGTTTTCCGAACTTGGGGAAGTTTACCTCTAAAAGCTGCACCATTTGTGTAGCTACACAAGAAAATTTGGGCCATTCTGTTCCAGCTAGGGGAAAATTCACAAGAGGAGCAAAAAGGAAGATAGGAACTGTTCTCCTTATACTATCTCTTGCCTGGAAGAATCTCAGCTAGGGATTCAATTTCAAATCAATTTCCTGCCAGTCCACTGCTCCTTGTTTTAGGATTTCTGATAAGGCAAGGAGAAACCTGACCAATAGGCCAAGTACAGTGGTGCCTCGCTTAAAAACGATAATCCGTTCCAGGAAAATCGCCGTTAAGCGAAAACATCATAAAGCGAAATAAAAAACCCCATTGAAACGCATTGAAACCCGTTCAATGCGTTCCAATGGGGTAAAAACTCAACAGTCCAGCAAAGATCCTCCATACGGCGGCCATTTTTGCTGCCTGTATAGCGAGGAATCCATCCCTAAGCACAGCGGGGAGCCATTTTAAGCACCCGGCTTAGTGCTGATACATTGCATAGGGGTTCAATGTGAATATTTATCTCAAGAAATCTTACCACAGCCTGAAAGATAGCAACTCTGGTGGGTTCATGGCTGAGGTAGGATTTGAACCTGCAACGTCATGAATCCCACTTATTTCTCTCAGACACTGTACTACATTGATGGCCATGTTATCTTCACTCACAGCACATCAACTTTCATCAGATTTCCTGAGACAAAATGACTTAATCTAACCCTCTAGCCTGACAGTCTGCAACTAAAGGAGTCCCCTCAGTATCCTGAATGCAAAATTTGCTACTTGAAAAAGGAAGGAAAGGGGGGGGGGGAACAGGCAGGGAGCTCCCCAGCCAAGGGCAGAGCAAAAGGTGACCACAGTGCTGCATTTTCAGGCTTACCTAAATGCAGAGGAGTGTTCCCCAGTCCATCTCTCTGGTTTGGATCAGCTCCGTGGTCCAAAAGCAACTGTACTAAAACACAAACAGACCCATCTAAAGTTTGTTCCTGACCTCCTTGGATGCAGAAACCCTACCAAAATTGCTGAAGTATTAAATCAGGTCCATCTAACCTTAGTTAGTCACCAAGAGAGGCAAATAAAGGGTGAAGGCAGACCTACCCTTGTCCACATCTTTCCTCCCAACCAATTCCTTTGCAAAGTGGGGCAGAGAAGAGGTACAGAACCCATGGCCCTCCAGATGTTATAGGACGGATCAGGCCCTGTTAGAATTGCCAATGGTTTAAGGCTGATGAGAGCAGACATCCAACCTTATCACATATTCTCCACCCCTTCTTGGGAGGAATGGGGCTCTCTTACATAAATAGCTTCCTTTATGTCTCTTCAAACTATCATGTTTGAATACAAAGAACAAGAAAACATCTTACTGCTGAACCCTGTCAGAGTTATTCCTGTTTGGCCAGAAGCTTTCTCTGTATTTTAAAGTTCTTTCCCATTCCTGGTTTTTAAGGTCTTTTTTTACTAAAGGACAGGGAACAATGTAGTTCTCCACATACTGTTGGACTACAATTTCCATAATCTTTCACCATTAGCTGTGCTCATTCAAGTTGATGGAAGTTGCAGTTCAACAACACCAAGGGAGACACACATCCTACACCCTTGCTTTCATTGGACATTTCAAGGATTACATTCCAGGCTCACACATAAAGCTACAGCTCTGGGATCAGAGACATCTTACACTCCTACAGAACACCATGATATATATTTTTAAGAGACCATATTGCTAAAGAGCTATCACTGTACCTCACAAAACACTATCCCTGTACTTATCCATGCCTGCTACTTAAGACCAATTTCCTTCCACCTGCCAGGAGTGGCAGATAACGTGACAAAATGTAAGAAAAGAAAGATCTGATTGTGAGAAGTATGAGATTTTTAGAAGGAAAGAAATCATCAGTAATCTCTTCCCAAGATACAGAGCTGGAGGACGAGGGTCCAAACCTCTTTTCAAAGGGCCTCACCAATATGGTTGTTTCCGTTGCAGGAAGCGAAGTGCAGTGCTGTTCGGCCTTTGTCATCTGCCGCGCAGGGGTCTGCCCCATCGTCCAGAAGTTGCTGCACTGATGCCACCAAGGGAGACAAGAGAAGAGAACATTAACAGAGGTGAGATGTTCTATAGATCAAGAAGTCTCCTTAATGTAAAGCCGAGAATCAAGGAAAGAGAAATATAAACCCGGAGATATTTATAAATGAAACAGTAACATATGATTAATCACAAACAAAAATATTATTCTGCATTTTGTACAGAATCTTTAGCTTAAGGCCACAAAGGCCCAGTATTTTGTTACAGATCAGTTGCTAATCATATACATCTGTAAAAGATACTCTCTCCACTTCATGTATGTTGAGGATTTATGTTTATGGCCCTCTACATATAATTGTTACTTCTTATTTTATCCACATTGTTTCTTAATTCTATTTGTGATTACTCATGTTATCTCTTTATTGATAAATACTCTAGGATTTATGTATCTGTTTCATTGACTCTTGAATTATACGTGCTGTGTTTTTAAGACAAAAGTATTTTTTCTTTTTGTTGCTGTTATTTCAGATTAAGATTCCTCATCAAAAGTGCAAACAATTCTTACCTCTGTTTTCAACACTGATGCTTAAGTGTTGAATAGAGATGTGCAGAGTTGTGTTTCTGGACTACAGTTCCCAGAATTCTCTAGGAATCAGAAGTCTGAGAGCTGTAGACAAAAAACACAAATCTCCACAGCCATGTATGCTAGAGTTAGGCTTTTTCAGCAGCAATTATTGTAATGCAACATAGGGTCCTTATTTATGACCATAAGTGGAAGTGATATTGCAAAACACACAAAAAGCATACATGAACAGAATCTACGCTTACAAAGGATCCAAACAGCTTCAGGCTACGATTGAAATTCCATCCACACAATTTTTATCAACTTCCAAAACTAGGATTTTTAAGCAGATCGCAACTCCAAGTGCATTTCATGGCACGATGTCATCAAAGCTAAGCATAGATCATCATTATTTCAGTCTAGTAACAGTGGTGATTTATCACCAATTTTAAATGCTTCCCATTAAAGGAACAGAATGGAAAAGTGCTTCAACTTTTTTCCATGAAGTCCACCCATGTGCATTTTATGTGAATGCAAGGACTTTGATACAAGAGATACGTGAGCCAACAATGAAATGTAGCTGCAAAAAAGGCAAATGATATTTTAAGCCTCATGAACAGAAGTATAGTCACCAAATCCCGTGAAGTACCTTGTTTCCCCTAAAATAAGACCTAACCTGAAAATAAGCCCTACTATGATATTTCAGGGTGCTTGTAATATAAGGTAAAGGTAAAGGTTCCCCTTGACAATTTTTGTCCAGTCATGTCCGACTCTAGGGGGCGGCGCTCATCCCACTCTTCAAGCCATAGAGCCAGCGTTTTGTCCGAAGACAATCTTTCCGTGGTCACATGGCCAGTGTGATTTAGACACGGAACGCTGTTTACCTTCCCACCGAGATGGTACCTATTTATCTACTCACATTTGCATGCTTTCGAACCGCTAGGTTGGCGGGAGCTGGGACAAGCGACAGGCGCTCCCTCCGTCGCGTGGATTCGATCTTACAACTGCTTGGTCTTCTGACCCTGCAGCACAGGCTTCTGCGGTTTTGCCCACAACGCCACCACGTCCCTTCCTGTAATATAAGCCCTACCCCCAAATAAGCCCCAGTTGTGAAACCCTGCCCTCCACCATTGTGTAGCATTGTGCAGCAACCAGAACAAGATGACATGATTGTATTTGAATAAATGTAGATTGTTGTACATGAAAAATATAAAACATTCCCTGAAAATAAGCCCTAATGTGTTTTTTAGAGCAAAAATTAATAGAAGACCCTGTCTTATTTTCAGGGAAACACGGTACCAGTGATCACTCCAACACTGAAGGCATTCAAGAGAAAAATTAAACAACTATCTGTCAGATTTGCTTTGATTTAGAATCCTGCACTGAGCAGGGGCCTGACTTGATGGTCTTATAGGGCCTTTCCAACTCTATTACAGTGGTGCCCCGCAAGACGATGTTAATTCGTTCAGTGAAAATTGCTGTCTTGTGAATACATCGTCTTGCGAAATGCAGTTCAAGACAGCAATTTTCACTGAACGAATTAACATCGTCTTGCGGGGCACCACTGTAATAGAGTTGGAAAGGCCCTATAAGACCATCAAGTCAGGCCCCTGCTCAGTGCAGGATTCTAAATCAAAGCAAATCTGACAGATAGTTGTTTAATTTTTCTCTTGAATGCCTTCAGTGTTGGAGTGATCACTGGTACCGTGTTTCCCTGAAAATAAGACAGGGTCTTCTATTAATTTTTGCTCTAAAAAACACATTAGGGCTTATTTTCAGGGAATGTTTTATATTTTTCATGTACAACAATCTACATTTATTCAAATACAATCATGTCATCTTGTTCTGGTTGCTGCACAATGCTACACAATGGTGGAGGGCAGGGTTTCACAACTGGGGCTTATTTGGGGGTAGGGCTTATATTACAGGAAGGGACGTGGTGGCGTTGTGGGCAAAACCGCAGAAGCCTGTGCTGCAGGGTCAGAAGACCAAGCAGTTGTAAGATCGAATCCACGCGACGGAGGGAGCGCCTGTCGCTTGTCCCAGCTCCCGCCAACCTAGCGGTTCGAAAGCATGCAAATGTGAGTAGATAAATAGGTACCATCTCGGTGGGAAGGTAAACAGCGTTCCGTGTCTAAATCACACTGGCCATGTGACCACGGAAAGATTGTCTTTAAAAACACTTCTGATATGATTCTCAGGACTTATTTATTTATTTATTTATTTATTTATTTATTTATTGGACTTGTATACCGCCCCATAGCGCTACAAGCACTCTCCGGGCGGTTTACAATTTTTAATTATACAGGCTACACATTGCCCTCCCCAGCAAGCTGGGTACTCATTTTACCGACCTCGGAAGGATGGAAGGCTGTGTCAACCTTGAGCCGGCTACCTGGGATTTGAACCCCAGGTCGTGAGCACAGTTTTAGCTGCAGTACAGCGTTTTAACCACTGCGCCACGAGGCTGTTAATTCCACACAATGATTTTCCTTGTTCTGAAGAGAAAATCTATAGTTCACAGCATTATCTTTAATGTGCAGAAAGCCCCATTCTAGCTAACTATACAGTATTTTTGGAAGATATACTGTATATTCTCCACCAGAATCTTTCTCTCTATAAAAACCATACAGCAGTAGACACTATGGCCTCACTCAGACAATATTACCTGTTTCCAAATCATTGGAATTGGCAGCTTCTCTCAATCTTTTCAAAGCTGTGGGGGGAAAAGGGGGAGAACATTATTTTCTTCCTACTGGAAACTGAACAAACCAAGAACAATTCAATTCCCATGACTCCTAAAGTTTTCACAAAAAGAACCAAAAATCAGGTTCTGCAAAACAAGTGCTTATTTATTTCTCATTTGCTGTGCTCAGTGCATGTTTCCCCTGAAGCCTGCTCTTCTATTGTGAGATACAGCACTTCTGTGAGCATTACTGTACAACATTTTGTACCCAGGAAAACACTGTTGGCTTTTTGTCATAATAAATAGTATATAACCTCTAATTTGAGGAGTCTGCACACAGCAGTTTGAAGAGCATAGATTAAAAAAACCACTTTTTATAGAACAAAATTTGATGTTCTCCCGTATATGTGTTTGTGCCGGCACAATGATAATCAAATAATCACAAACACTTGTGTTTTCTAGTTTAAAACATCAAATAACTTTTACTGTTTATAAACATGCGTAAAATACAGTATAACATAGCTCATAGTGTTAGGCATTTGGTATTTGTCATACATGTTTTTGACTTATTAACAGACATATTCTCTAGTAAATAACTATCTCATTGTAATACTGTCACATTCTTAAACCCTATCCGGCCCACCAAATTCTGTTACCTACAGTATTATTCCTGTCAGTCCTATCATCCCTATCTTAGTTATTACATTTTTGTACATGTCCTTATCTTAGTCTATGTCATTATCTCTATATCTATTGCGTGTTTAGCCTGTCTGAGGTCTGTTACATGGTTGAACATGTCCTATTACATGATTGTACGTATCCCTATCTTAGTCTATGTCATTGTCCCTACCTGACAGACTTCTAACGGGAACCTGCCTTATATAGCAGCCTGGCTGACTCCACATTCTGATTGGTTAGAATCCTATGCTATGCAAACACATTTAAACGTACAGATAAATACGTACGTATTGTGTTGCATAACTACATATATACACCAACACTCATAATATATCTTTAGCTAGCACATTCCTTGCTACTAATGATGGGGACCTTTAATTAGTCATTTCGTGCACTGGAATGTTGGAACTCCAGATACAGTTTTCAAACACTTCCCAGACACCATGTGCTCCCAAGTGTACACCTCCTGTGCTGAAATATACATCTGTTGTTGCTGAAATGTTAAAAGTGCAAACACCATCAAAACTGACCTCCTTCCCCCCAGCAATGGTTTCTGTTGTTCTCACCATTCTGGGAATTTGAAAAGTATTTTAAAATCTCAGTGGTTCTCTTGTCCCACATTGGGCTCCAGAGGTACCACACGAACTAAGTTGTGGAAGCTAGATTTATTTATGCAATCAATCTTCCTGTGTGTATTTATCTTCAAATTGCTTTTTCATATAGCTCACGCTCTTTCTTGAATCTGGGGCCCTCCTGACATTTAGGATATCAATTGCCACAGTTCCAGGTCTCCTAGGCTGTTGGGAGGTACAGTCCAAAACACTACAAGTAAAAGGACCCCTTTTGAGGAAGTCTGCCTTCCTTGATCATGAGGAATATCACTCTGCAACATTTCTCCTATTCAGTTTTCCCCATTAGAAAACTGGAATGCTTTTTTTTTCATCATTGCTTCTCTAGACACCAGAATGCCAGATAATGATTTGTCACAATCCTGGGGCCTATACATTGGTCACAATCTTATGGTTAATCCCAGGAATAACTTGCAATTTAACACTGTGGGTCTTATTTCTACGTAAACATATCTATAATTTCTCTGTGAGAATGCATACTCAATACATACCAGTTCTTTCCTTCTTCCTAGTCATATGCAAGACAACAACCAGCACTGCACACACACCCAACTCTTTCAACAGATATCAATGTGCAAAACTCAGATTCCACCTGCTACACAAACCATCACAGTTCCATCACATTTCTGGCTGTGAATTAAACTTATGCCCCATCCTGGTGAGTGGGACTCAGTATGACACTTTTATACCAGAGAAAAACTCCAGCCCCTCCACCACCCTGACCTTTATTAACCTAAAACAGAAGTGGGTGAGGATGTGTCTGCATGTGAAATGTGTGCCCTGCGTAGGCAGAAAATACGGAAGAGTCTGAAATTTTTTTCCCCTGATGAAATAATTTTCCGAACCTCTGGGACTACCTGTCCACATGAACCAACATGAAAGTCCAGTCCTAGGCATAATTACTTGGGTGTCAGTGCCACAGAGCCTGCAGTCCCCATCAAAACTTTCCCTTAGTCCCTTGTTTGGGACAAAGGCCCCTCCGAACCCCTTTGAGGATTTCCGTGCAAGTAAAACGTGGCCACAATCGGGGGGGGGGGCATTTACTCTTGCAGTCCAAATCCTTGCAAAGAGTGGAAAGCTGCCAGTCTCTCGACAGACCCGTGGGCACGGAGGCATCAAGTGGGCAGAAGGTGCGTTTCCAGGCAGGGAGAGGAAAGGTCTGCGGTGGACCTTCCGCCGCGAGTGACAACAGGGGCGACCGCTTCGGGGGACCCCACCACCACACCACACCCAGCCCCTCACCGTGGATCTCCTTGCCCATGGGCCCCGACTTGCGGTGCAGCCGGGCGGCCCGGCGGTGGCGACCGATAATCTTGCACACGCGGTGCTCGCCCTGCCACGGCAGCTGGAGGTAGCCCAAAGAGGCGGGATCCGGCGCTTCCGGCACGGTCCCCAAGGCGGCTCCAAGGCCCGCCAGAGAGAACACATTCGCCGCCGCCGCCGCCGGGATCGCGGGGCCGGGGTCGCCGGGGTCGCCGCCTTCCATCCCCGCCGCGTAAAAGCCCCACGGTGCCTCCCAGTCCCAAGTCAACCGGGCCCGCCACGGGCGGGGG